CGGGAGGATCACTTGAGTCTAGAAGTTCGATACCAGCCTGGTCTGATATTAACAGGAGACCCGGTCTCTACAAAAACAATTTTTTAAATTAGCCAGGCATGGTGGTGCAAGCCTGTGGTCCCAGCTACTCAGGAGGCTCATGTGGGAGGATCGCTTGAGCCCAGCAGGTCAAGGCTGCAGTGAACCATGATTGTGCCAATCCAGCATGGACAACAGAGCGAGATCCTGTCTCAAAAAAAAAAAAAAGACAGAAGACAGATATTTTTAAATGCTATTCTAAACACACACACACACACACACACACAAAATTGGCTATAGAATTGCCAGTTTGCAACTCCCCTGACTTTACGCGTTGTTTTCCCTGTGATGTCTTACCTACTTCCAGTTTCAATTACCATCTACAACTCGGACCTCTCAGATCCTGGACATTAGTCCAGACCTTTCCCAAGTCTCAGTCTCCACATGCCCCTGGCTCCCCCTAGGCCACTCATATGCACAGAGTCCCACATCACACTTAGCGGCATTTCCCAAACCTGCTCGCCCTCCTGAGCTCTATCTCGGGGACAGCCCCACTGTGTCCCAGTCAGCAGACCATATGTCCGGTAGCCATCCACTGATGGGGGCACCCCCTCTCTCCCCATATTCATCAGTCCCCAAGCTCTGCCTTCCCGCTCCCTGAATCTTTGCCCCATCCCCTCCTCTCTGTGTCCCAAAAGCCCTGACCTGGCTCAGGCCACTACGCCTCCCACTCAGACCCTCTATCCAGACTCCTCCAGAGCTCCTGTTCATCCTCTCCCAGTCCCAGAAGGTTTTGCCACACCCAGAGCCAACCCCACCACTGCAGTGATGCCCCAGCTCCCCAGGACAAGGTCCTAGCCCCTTAGGGTGGCCTCTGACACCCTGCAAGCTCTGGCCGTGTTCTCCTCTGCAGCCTCTTCTCTCTTGACAGTGCTCCCTGCACCCTGAACTTTGATTCATATTCAAGCCGAACCATATGGTCCTTAGCAAGGACTTTGCACATGCTGTTCAAATCACTTTCTTTCTTTCTTTCTTTCTTTCTTTCTTTCTTTCTTTTTTCTTTTTTGAGATGGAGTCTTGCTCTGTCACCCAGGCTGGAGTACAGTGACATGATCTCAGCTCCCTATAGCCCCCGTCTCCCAGGTTTAAGCAATTCTCCTGCCTCCTAAGTAGCTGAGATTACAGGTGTGCGCCAACACGCCCAGCTAATTTTTGTATTTTTAGTAGAGACGGGATT